AAAACAAACAAACAAAAAAAAAAGTGAGGGATATTTCTATAAGCTAACATGAGATTATTTCTGGGATTTATTAGTAAGTGAAAGAAGTCAACTACAAAAGAATTGCATCTTTCATGTAAGAAATAAAGACAAGTAAGAAACTGTACAGGTATATTCCCATTTAGGAAGTATAAACCAGAAATGAATGAGACACACTACCCACAATGGCTTAGAGGAGAAGAGAATGGAAAAAATGGGAAAATAGAAACTGAGACAGAGAAGAGGATAGTTCTGAATGTGCCTTTTGTGGTTTTTTAATAATCCTTTATTGTTATGACAATAATGAAAATCAAAAATGTCAAACCCAGCTCTCTTAAATCATAAAGTTACTACTTAGCATGATGTCTGCTACTTCATAGTATTCAGATTCCTGAATGATTATCTTTTTCTTTTCCAGTACTGGGGATTAAACTCAGGACCTTGTGCTTGCCAGGCAATCACTGTGCCACTGAGCTACATCCCCAGCCCTGATTATCTTTTTAATTCAAGAAATTATCTGAGACTCTACTACGTAGAAAGTAATATGGTAAGCACAGTGAAGACTTTTAATTTGGGTAAAGATACTGTAATTACACTCAAGAAATTTACTCTCTAACCAATATTTTACATATAGAACAAACCAAAATATTACAGACACAAAGTTGGAAGAAAAGCAAAAAAAAAAAAAAAGGAAAATCTCAAAATACTTAAAACAACATACTGCTAAATAAACTGTGAGTCACAGAGGAAGCTTCAAGGGTAATTTTTAAAATACAATGAGCTAAATCTCAAAATAAATATGAAACTCTATAGTATGAAACAGTTTGCTTTAAGTATATATCTTAATTTAATTCCAGTTCCTTTAAAATTTTATGCATTGATTTCTTTTCAAAATTAAGTTATACAAGTTAAAATTACAGATACAGAGATATTAGAAACATTAAAATAATAAAGAATATAAATCAATTGAAATGCAAAGAGAATTGTGTGCTTGTGTGGGAGGAAATCAGACAATGAAATCTACAATTCAGAGAAGAAATTTTGTAAACCATAAGAAGAGAGGGCAAGAAAGGTAATGTTCCAATAAGTCACAAAACACTTGTGACATAATAAAAAACAAGCAAACTTATTTATCAGTTGAATGCTTCTGCAGATACTGAAGCCTCTCAAGACTTTGTTTCTTGGACTTTCTGGAATTCAACAAGCAATGTCTTTATGGTCTAAGCCCCTAAGTGTAGGGTTCTCTGTTACTTGCAGTTGAAAGCACTTCTAACTTACACACTCTAGGAAGCAGATCAGAGATGATTGTTTCAGACACCTTAACAATGTAATTTTATTAACCTAAATAATCTCATCTCTTCATTTCCAGAGGGAGGAAAAAATCAACGTGAAAACAGTGTACAAGCAAAACAACACACAAATAAAGCAAGGCAAACAAACTCATCCTGTATTCTCAGTGAATTTCAAATCTGAGAGAGAAAAGAAAAAAATGACAGAAAAACTGGATCTGAAAGATCCCAAAGACCCTACAGTTTGAATTGACAATGGACAGATGGGTTTGGAGGTCAAATAAAGTCCAGCCATATGTTTAAAAATTGGCTAAAACATAGGTCACATATCCTGGACAACAGCTAAAAAGGAAGAAAAGCAGATGTTTGATGAAGTTATAAGAGAAAACACAACAATATCTGAATCAGATTTTACATGTAATAAAAGGCTACGAAAATAAAGTTATTTTTATTATCTTTAATAATATCCTGTTTTACTCTCACAATTCTAGGGAGTTTCAGTCAGGGAAATAAGATTTTTTTTATGTTGTAAGAATCCTTGCTTTTACTTTTATATTTTAGCATTTAAATTCATAATCCAAATATGTTAGGTAATAACAAAATATTTGATGATTGTTTAAAACTTAAGGAAAATGCTTAAAATGAGACTAAGCTGTGGCTGTTCTTGTTGGCAATTATATATTGTCTTAGATTTTTAAAAATACTAATATGCATCCAAAACTTTTTGGTCCATGCTGTATAGAATAAAAGAAAATCCAAACTTAGTAAAAATTATAAATTCAAAAGGAAACATGAATAGAAAGTAATGAAGCAAAAGGAGAAGCAATATCATATTTGCTGTGTTAATATAAACCTTATTTTAAAGTCTGGGAATTTAGCTCAGTGGTTCCACCACCTGCTTCTCAAGTGCAAGTTCCCAAGTTCAATCCCTGGTACAAAAAAATATATATATAAATATATATATATATTTTTTTTTTTTAGGTGGACAGAAATTAAGGAAAACCTATATAAAATCCAGTGCAACATATGTATGTTTTAATCACCAGTTTACATGGCTCATTATTTCTGCAGAGGAGATGAATGCCTGGCTTTTTACAGGGCCACATGAGAAGGAAAAGGCCACTCACTTATGCAAGTTCTCAAAATATGCTGATCCCATCAATGTTTGAAAAAACAAAACAGGTTTTTAGGGTACTTAGGCAAGTAGTTTTTAATTTCATGAAAGCACAGACATAAGCCATAGAGACTACTGACTGGCCCTCTAGTCTGGTCAGCCTCCTTGGCAAAGATCCTGCTTAGATATTCTGTTTTTCTCAGCATCTGTGAAGACTTGAGTTCATACTCTCATTTCATTTCACATTCTTAATTTTTCAGTGCTTTTCACATAACTGGAAGGCAATATAACTCTAAGAATTTTAGTTTCCTTTTTTCTAGGTCACATATTTTCCTTTTTCCATCCAATTCCAGGCAGTCATCAAGTATTTTTCTCTCTTCTTGGTATTTACCTAACCTTTGGTCTTCTAAATAATGTAATGCCATAAAATAAAGCCTCTGTTAACCCACAGCACAGCTGTCCAAGAAGTTTATGGACTCATAATTCAATTGGCAGCGAGAGAGTAAGCAAAAGTGGAATTAACCAAGGAATTCCAGTCTAGTATTCTATTCAGTGCCTTTCTATGTTTATTTTTTAGTCACTTCTGAATTTTGACCACTGATTAGAACAGCAAATTTCAAATTCTGATATTTAAAGAACAAAATACAGCAAATGTGATTGTAACCTACCTGCCTGCTGCTGAAAGGGGCAAAGATTGGTATAGATCTGAGTCTAAAGGCTTCCCACCAACAAGCCCATGGTACAAACTAAGTACCACTTGTTACTGAGCAGGCAGTAAAACCACAAAATATTATAACTGAAAAGGCTTCTAGACATCTAGTCACATGTCCTTCCCATTGTAGAAATTTCTCCCACAACATTCCCTTCTGGAAGCAACCTAGTCACCACATGAACATAAGGGCTGCCTCACTGGAAGCCCATTCCATTCTGTAATACATATTTTTTTTTGTAATACATTTTTTAAAGAAATCTCCTTCTTAAAAATTCAACAGTTACTTCTTTGTATCTTCAATTTATTGATTCTCCTTTATTCATTTAACCAGCATGTATGGAGTAACTACTCTCACCAGTACTCACTTTCCAGAAGATAAACCACATCTGCCCTTTATCTATACGGAGACACAAACCCATGAAGAAAAATAAAAACGAAGCACCACTTGCCTTTCCTTTGAACTGCTTCCCTTGCTGTCCTCCCAAGCCTAGGTATTATTTACCTGAATCACCCCTCCCAAGAAGGAGACTGCCACAGCAACGCCGATCCTTTGTGCTTCGAATTCAGACAAACCCAGCAGACTTGAATTACTGTACATGGTGAAGTTCTGGCTGCTTTGAGGGACCAGCCGTTCCACAGCGTTGGCTGATATTAAAGATGTCAAGGCAAAGGTGCCTAAAATGGGGAGTATGGAGAATCTGCTGTTAATAACTTAACAATAAGAATTGTTGGACTTTGCCATTAACCTTTTAAGGAACATTGTAAAGGTATTAGAAACACTCTCCTCTGTCCCCCTAAAGCTCTACCTTTCACCCTATTCCATGAAAGAGCAGATACTTCTCTGCACACATTCTACATGCAGCCATATGTATCCACCTGATATATCTTTCTGGGCATTCATTTTCCTTCCTCTCTGCAGACTGGCATAAAGAATGTCCTGAGGGCAGGGGTTAATACTGTGGTCCAGATTTAAATCCCACCCCCTTCAATCTACCGATTACTTAAAGTTCATTTAAAATACCCTGGGTCAAAACTGCTTCATCCATTAGATATGGGTAATAATATCTATGTTTCAGGGTTTGGGGCCAATGTAAAGGGGATAAATTGGAATACCTCAATAAGCTTAGTGACTAAATACAAACTCTTAGGCTGAAATGTTTGCTCCTCCAAACTACCTATGCAAACCCTACTTGTCTTTAAAGGTCTGGTTCTAACTCCACCCCAGGTGCTCCAGATCAGGCTTAAAACTTTCTATTTGCTGTATTCTCATAACCAGTGTACCTTTATTATAGTATAACAACATAGTTTGGCTAATAAAATGATTATATATGCCATTTCTGCCTACTATTTTTAAATAAGGTTCAATAGTATTTTCCTGGAAATTGTCTTGGCCTCATACATATGTGGGGCCATGTTCTGTGTGTTACCCCCTTCCTGCCAAGAGTTGCAATGTCTTTCTTAGCACAACATGCCTGAGAATGGATATGGATATAGAAATGCTGATTCCCACAAAGAAAGTCAGCACATTCAGGTTAAAGAAACATACAGCAGCTCAGGATTTAGCTCAGTGTTTCTTCCTCCTGCCTTGCAAGCACAAGGTCCTGAGTTCCATTGCCGGCACAAAAAAAAAAAAAAAAATGCCAGCCATTTCATCGGTAAGTGTGTGCAGAAACTGGGGAGCAGCTGTGTGGTCCAGACCAGTGCAGCTGCAGGCAGATCCCAGCCAGGGGTCTGCCCTGCCCCAAAGGCTCAGGGACACCCACACAAGCCAAAGGCCTACCAAGGGAAGACCTTCATAGGAGCACAAGCTTCAGCCAGAGGCCCTCCACTCCATCCACTACAGCCAAGGACCTGCCTGGAAAAGAGCTACACAGGCACACAAGCAATATCCAGAGGCTCACCCCAATATCATTGATAAGTGTGTGGAGACCCTAGCCAAAGCCTGCACAGACAATAGGAACTGGGTTTCACAGCCCCCAACCAAAGGTCCTCCCAGACAACAGATACATAGGGGCCCTAGTGAGATGCATGCCTAGATACCATCCCAACAATGCAC